ATATATATATATATATATATATATATATATATATATATAGTTGTATACAAAGTATACTTACACCAATTCATGTCTTTATACATGTACTTTGGATAATAATGATCATCACATTCCACCATCATTTATAACCCCATGTTCCCTCCCTTCCCTTCCCACCCCTCTGCCCTATATAGAGTTCATCTATTCTTCCCATGTTCCCTCTCCCTATCCCACTATGAATCAGCCTCTTTATATCAGAGAAAACATTCAGCATTTGGTTTTTTGGAATATCTTATCTTTTTGGAATATCTTATCTTCTCTAACTCCTTTATGGCTGAATAAAGAATACCACAATTTCTTTATCCATTCATCTGATGACGGGCATCTAGGTTGGTTCCATAGCTTAGCTATTGTGAATTGTGCTGCTGTATACATTGATGTGGCTATATCACTGAAGTACGCTGATTTTAACTCCTTTAGGTATGTACTGAGGAGTATATAACTGGGTCAAATGGTGGTTCCATTCCTGGTATTTTGAGGACTCCCCATATTGCTTTCCAGAACGGTTGCACTAATTTGCAGTCCCACCAACAACGTAGGAGTGTACCCTTTTCCCCACGTCCTTACCAACATTTTCTGTTACTTGTATTCTTACTAATTGCCATTCTGGTTGGAGTAAGATGAATTCTCAGTGTAGTTCCATTGTGCAATGCTTACACAACCAGTTTCCTTTTGGGCTTCAGCTTTCCATAGCACTAAAATCTCTGTTCCCCAAACTTTTCATTATTTCCTCCCTATGGAACCTTTTCATACTTTTTTTTCCCCAACTGAGGTTATTAAGTTGATGGGTCCTTCACTAAAGAACAATAAAGTGTCATGAAACAGTTTGTGACATGCATATGAGTTGGTTTTTGTTCATAAGAAACTAAGGTGAATAAAGACTTCATAGAAGGATAAGAATACATCGATGTTCATAGCAGCTCAATTCACAATAGCAAGACTGTGGAACCAACCCAGATGCCCTTCAATAGACGAATGGATTAAAAAAATGTGGCATTTATACACAATGGAGTATTACTCTGCATTAAAAAATGACAAAATCATAGAATTTGCAGGGAAATGGATGGCACTAGAGCAGATTATGCTAAGTGAAGCTAGCCAATCCCTAAAAAACAAATGCCAAATGTCTTCTTTGATATAAGGAGAGTAACTAAGAACAGAGTAGGGACGAAGAGCATGAGAAGAAGATTAACATTAAACAGAGATGAGAGGTGGGAGGTAAAGGGAGAGAAAAGGGAAATTGCATGGAAATGGAAGGAGACCCTCAGGGTTATACAAAAGAATATACAAGAGGAAATGAGGGGAAAGGGAAAAATAATACAAGGAGGAGAAATGAAGGTCAGTAGAGGGGGTAGAGAGAGAAGAGGGGAGGGGAGGGGAGGGGAGGGGAGGGGGGATAGTAGAGGATAGGAAAGGTAGCAGAACACGACAGTCACTAGTATGGCAATATGTAAATCAATGGATGTGTAATTGATGTGATTCTGCAATCTGTATATGGGCTAAAAATGGGAGTTCATAACCCACTTGAAGCAAAGTGTGAAAGATGATATATCAAGAACTATGTAATGTTTTGAACAACCAACAATAAAAAAAAATCTGAAAAACAACAACAACAAAAAAGACTTCATAGAAGGATAAGAATTCAACAGAGAACTGAATAATACAAAGGTCTTTAATAGGAAGGAAGGAAAATATTCCAGAATTAGGAAGTCACTCACTCATTCAAGAAATATTGTTCCAGATACCATTCTAGATGAGGGATACGGAGGTGTACAAAAGAAACAAAATCTCTACTCTCCTAGAGCTCATTTGAGTAAAATTCTGCAAGTAAGAAACACATAGATATGTGCATGTGTTTTTTATATATGCCTGAAAATTTTGCTTATGTCATTTTATGCTCAAAACCTCCTAAAACAAAGACCTAATCTTTCAAATGTGTTGGAATTTAAATGAAACCCCACAGAATAATTTTTGAGTAAAAGACATAAAGGAAGGATAATTTGATAGCCATGTACAAGATGGAATGGCAAAATCAGAGACTAGAAGTGGAGGAGGGTCATACATTGCTGGTGGGACTACAAATTGGTACAACCACTCCAGAAAGCAGTATGGAGATTCCTCAGAAAACTTGCAATGAAACCACTATTTAACCTAGCTATCCCACTCCTAGTTTTATAGCCAAAGGACTTAAAATCAACATACTATAGTGATACAGCCACATCAATGTTTATGGTGGCTCAATTCACAATAGTAAACTATGAAACCAACCTAGGTGTCCTTCAACAGATTAATGGATAAAGAAAACATGGTATGTATATATACAATGGAATATTACTCGGCCTTAAAGAATGAAATTATGGCATTTGCCGGTAAATGGATGGAACTGGAGAATATTATTCAAAGTGAAATAAGCCAATCCCAAAGAACCAAAGGCTGGATGATTTCCCTGATATGCATATGCTAACTCACAATAAGGGAGATGGGAATAGAGGTATTTTGGATTAGACAGAAGGGAGTGCAGGGAGGAAAGGGGGTAGGAATGACATAGAGTGAATTGGACATTATTACCCTGTGTGCATATGTGATTATACAATCTGTATAACTCTACATCATGTACAACCAGAATGAGAAGTAGTACTCCGTTTATATATGACATGTCAAAATGCATTCAACTATCATGTATCTCTAATTAGAACAAATAAAAAACAAGAAGTGGAGGAGTGTGTTACGAGGCTTTCGGAGGGTACAGAGTTGAGCTCATAGGACAGACTATGGAACTAGCAGGAGGCGTGGAGTGGAACAAATATGAAAACACAAACTTCTGCCTTTTGATTTCTTAGCTAAGGGATATGAGGCAGAGGGTGGAGTCAAAAATGAAAACAATGGTTAAAATCTGACAGAAGGATTGTACTGTTGATAGAAATAGAGGATATAAAATGGATCTATCAGCAGGGAAGGAGAGAGACGGATTCAGATTTTGAATATGAAGTGACAGCAGAACAATCAGGCTGAGTGTCCTTCAGAAAGGTGGAAGTATAGAGCGATGACAGTGGATGAAGCCGGGAATGGAGACATGCGTTTGGAAAGTGAATGCCTGAAGGGAGCAAACTGGGGAAGTAAGAGCAGCAGATGCAATTCAGGTGAAAGTCTTAGCCGGGAAATTTTAAAGAATTAAATAAATTGAAAACAGAAAAGAGTCAAGTCTGACTATCAGCTGAATAGCTGCACTGTGAATCAGCCAAATAAGTGAACCTTCAATTTTAGCTATGTAAATTCAGGAAGAGAGCTCAAATATTTACATCCAACTGGAATACACAAAGTTCCCATGAGCATTCATGAAAGAAAAAGGCAGGATACTAGACAAGCATTTCATATATGGTACAGTAAGCAGGCTACTAAGTTGACTGGGCCTGCAGTACAAAACACAGATCATCATGGAACAGACTGTGGGATATCATATGGGGTGGCTTTTTGTTATTTTGCTGATCCTGAATATTCAGTCTTTATAGCTCAGAATGACTCTCTGCACACATTGAACACTGTAGATTCTTGAGAATCCTTGAACTACTTAACTTCTTAAATTTGAAATTAAACAGGTATCTCTGATAGAAGTACAAAGGACAGAAGAACCAAGTTATTACACACAACACAGCTCAAATGCATATGGATTTGGACATTTTGAGGGATGTAATCTTAAACATGGCAGTTTCACAACAACATAACATAATACAATGCCTACAGGTTTTTGTTGTTTTGTTTTGTTTTGTAATAATTGATCTTATTTTTTTTTAAATACACGACAGTGGAATGCATTACAATTCTTTACTACACATATACACCACAATTTTTCATATCTCTGGTTGTATATAAAGTATGTTGACACCCAATTCGTGTCTTCATACATGTACTTTGGATAATGAAGTCCATCACATTCCACCATCCTTGCTAATCCCCTGCCCCCTCCCTTTCCCTCCCACCCTTCTGCCCTATCTAGAGTTCATCTATTCCTCCCATGCTCCCCCTCCCTACCTCACTATGAGTCAGCCTCCTTATATCAGAGAAAACATTCGGCATTTGTTTTTTGGGGATTGGCTAACTCCACTTAGCACAATGCCTAGAGTTTTAGTCTAGCCCCTTATTTTGGCTCAAGGTCTCAGAAGTTAGTCCATTGTTAGCCAACTCCATAGCTCTGGGCCCAAGATGAAGAACATCATGGCATAAGGGCATAGCTAAGGAAAGCAGCTCAGCAAATGGCAACCAGGAAGCAGAGGTAGAGCTCCACTTATCAGGGACAAAATATAAACCCCAAAATCACACCCCTGTGACCTACCTACTGCAGCCAGACCCTACCTGCCCAGTTACCACCTAGTTAATCCATAAAAGTGGATTAACCCACTGATTATAACTCTCACAATAAAACCATTTCACCCTTGAATATTCCTGCACTGTCTCACACATGGGCTTTTGAGTATTCAGTCTTTATAGCTCAGAATGACTCTCTGCACACATTGTACACTGTAGATTCTTAAGAATCCTTGAACTACTTAAAAGTGGATTAACCCACTGATTATAACTCTCACAATACAACCATTTCACCCCTGAATATTCCTGCACTGTCTCACACATGGGTTGTATATAAAGTATGTTGACATATCTAAACCATAACAAATTCCTGTATTAGTCAGATTATTCATCTCTGTGACCAAAAGACCTGACAAGAACACCTCTCAAACCAAAATCCTAATGCCATTCTAAAGCATATATTTTGAGTACTCACTATTTCAAATTTCAGTAATAATGGAGAATCTAGGAATAGAGTGGAAGCATGAAATAGGTTTCATGAAAGACAAAAGAGAAACATAAGTAATTTAAATTTGTCTCTAAGTAATTTTCACACATTAACTGCTTCCTCTAAGATGGTCGTTACTTTTGGACTTTTTAAAATTTTTACTTTAACTCATCATTAAATATTTCCCCATCTATTTGCTAAACCTAAGTTCAGACAATCTATTTCAAAAATCTATCTGAATGAATTCTTCTAGATGAACTCTTCTGCCTCATTCTTTTGATTCCTCACTGTAGAAATTCTATTTAGTTTTTTTTTCCACAAATATTACCACAGCTCATTGTGAGCTATGACAAAATGACATGCCTCCTCTTTTACACTTAAAACAAGTTCAGTCCCCTTTCACTGAACAATTTATAATGAAATATCAAGATCTCAAGTTATTTATTTCCAATATAATGCATCACATGTAGAAAGTATATGTATATTTTTAAACACAATATAGCTTTCCTGGTGTGGGAGAATGTTGTAGGCAGATGCTGGTTTGTTTTTCTGAAAAGTTCTTCAATAGCAAAGCATAATCCATCAACAACTTTGGAAGTGAATGGAAAGAGATCATAAAATCCATGTGACTGAAAGCTTAGTACAACAAAGATTTCCTGACTCATTTTTGTAAGAAATTGTATCATTTCTTCTCCTGTGCAAGGTGGAGTGCTGTGAGCTACCTGGGGTGTCAGCCTCCCCAAATTTTTATGGAAAAAAAAAGCCCTTATGCCCCAGGCTTCCCAGACCTTTTGATGCATAAAAGAGATCACATACATATCAAAACTGTGATTATGATTTTTTGTTAGTCAGTCTATAATTGACAAAATAATGAAGCACATCAAAAATGTTGAGCCCCAAAGAAGGTAAGTTAACAAAAATACAACTTCATAGAGATGAAAAGGAACTAACTTTAATTGTAAATCAGAAATGTCAAGTCAAAAAGCAAAGCATCACCACTTCGAGCTTTTTACATATGTGGGGATATTTTTGATCTGGAACAAGAAGACAGGAAACATCAGGGTCTGTCCACGAAGAGGCAGACAGAGGGTCCCAGCTGCAAGAAATGTTGATGAACCCTACAATGGAGCTGGTAGAACTTGCTCTCTGTGGCTGTTCCTCTATAGATCACTGGTCTACATCAGTTCTAGGCAGGTGGTTATAGAGATAGGTACTCAAAACACCAGCTAGGTCATGAAAGAAAATGTGGGCATTTCAAACTAAATAGTCAGCTACTAGGGAGGCTGAGGCAGAAGAATCACAATTTCAAGGCCATCCTTATCAGCACAGCCCGTCTGGAAATAAAAAATAAAAAGGGCTAGAGATGTGGTTCAGTGGTAAAGCATCCCTGGGTTCAATCCTACCAAAAAAGGAAAAGAAAAGAAATGTAAACAGAATAAATATGTACATGTTGTGACATGTGGGTTTTTATTCTGTTTTGTTGTTTTCTTTCTCAAAAGGAATTGACTTTTGGGAAATATTTCCATTCATTGTGGAGTACTAAAAGACTAGGAAGCAGCATACTTCCTACCACTCTGTAGGTAGATTCACTAGAATGAGAAATAATTTTGCTTTTATTCTGTCCTGCTTTCAGGGTTATAGTCAAAAAGTTATTTTGCTTCCTCTTTATTGAATATTCAGTATAGGTTATGGTTATAACTGTTTAGCCTCTGAGGACCTCAGTTTTCATCTGATAAAACTGAAGCTTTAATTTTAAACCAAGAAAAAGATATTTTGCACAGAATGCCTGATAAGATGTGATAATGACAAGGCTTTTCATTTATTTATTTTTTTATTTATTTTGTAGTGACAATGCATGTTCTTGCTTTCCTTCACAGAACATTATCAAATGAGTGTGCTGGAATCAGCTCCAATTAGCTCCACTGTGGGGAGAGTGTTTGCCAAGGACTTGGATGAAGGAATCAATGCAGAGATGAAATACACTATTGTGGATGGAGATGGTGCAGATGCCTTTGACATTAACACAGATCCCAATTTCCAAGTTGGTATCATAACTGTTAAGAAGGTAAGCCAACTCCTTTATCCAAATCACTTCATGGATGCTTTGTATATGAAATGATTTTCAGAGTTTTTGTACTATGGATAAGTATTTTCTGATTTAGAATATTATAACCAACTTTGTTGTTATAAATCTTCTTGTAAAAGCTCTTTCCTATAATTAAAAACAAACAAACAAAAAAATATCCCAGGCATGGTGGTGCTCACCTCTAATCCCAACTACTGGGGAGGCTAAGGTAGAAGAAGTTAGAAACCAACCTGGGCAACATAGAAAAACCTCATCTTACTCCTTGTACCAACATGAAGACACTGACTGTACCATCATTTTACAGAAAGAGTACCAGATTGTGATAAAAATATATTACAAATATGTCATTTCTCCTACTTAGCCAACTTAAAAACTATTGCAGCTTAATTCTCTAATGATGTTAATGACTTAGTCAATATTTGAATCACACACTTTTTTTTACTGCAGTGTACCATAAATAACAAGCAAATTATAATATTATTTCTAAATCAATAAATAACATACAGGGATTTTTTAACTGCCTCTTGAAGATCTATAAATGCAAATTAAACTTGCAAAAGTCTTATCAAACCAAGTGCAGAGGCACATGCCTATAATCCCAGTGACTTGGGAGGCTGAAACAGGAGGATCACAATTTCAAGGTCAGCATGAACAACTTAGCAAGACACTGTCTTAAAGTATAAAAATAAAGGACTAGGGATGTAACTAAGGGGTAAAGGGCCCCTGTGTTCAATTCCCAGTACTGGAAAAAAAAATTAAGTTTTATCAAACATAGCTAGTGAATGTTGTTTTCACTTTAAACTCCTTTGTTTCATGATACGGTACTGTTTTCTGAATATAAACTATTGATTCTTTCTGTGACATAAGGCACATATGGATAAACTCAGTTGGAAGATATGATGTTTTGTAAAAAATTAAGTTTTAATACCCTACAAATAAGTATCTGATGAAATACATTTAAGAGATTCATTGGTTTGATTCTTCCCTATTTTGAATACATTTTTTAAATCCATAACTTATATTATTTATTCAACACATATTACTCACCTACTGTGTACCAGCTATTGTTCCAAACATTCAATGTGGGGAAAAAAATAAAACATTATCCCAGCTACTCAGGAATCTGAGGCAGAAAAATTCCAGGTTCAAGGCCAGAGTGGATGGACAACTTAGATCAATAAGGAGATATAAGATGACTTCAAAAATCTTAAGTAATTGGGATTAACTTCACAGAAAAATGAGATTTAGGCAAAGACTTCAAGTCAGAGTTGGGCAGGTTAACAGTATAGGTACCCTATAAATGACTTTTGGTGAAAAGTGTCCACTGCCACCATGAAGTGTATGGAATGGGCATGGAAGTATTAAAGAAAGTGTTTCAGGCAAAAAGACAGCTAATGAAAAGGCCCTGAAGTGGGTCCATGCCTAGTGTGTTTCAATAACAGCAAGGGGATTTAAAAGGCTGAGTAAAGGGGGAAACTCTCAGGAGACAAGGTCTGAAAAATAACAAAGGGACTAGATTGTTTTTATACTAATTATGAGAACTTCAGTTTTTACTCTGAGTAAAGTGGGAAACAACTGGAGGATTTTAAGATGTGCAACATGACTAGGCTTTTCTGATAATTACTCTGTACGCTGTGTTCAGAGGAGGAAAAAAGGGGGGGGGAGGCAAGGAGAGAAACAAGGGAAACAGTTGAGAGGGTACTACAAAAATCCAGGGAAGAGATGGTAAGTTGTTGTCCTGAAGGCAGGATTGGAAATGACGGGAAGAGGTTGGTACATTTTGAAAGTAGGGCCAATAAGATTTCTTAAAAGATTGGATGAGGATATTTTTAAAAAGAGTCAACTGAGCAATAAGATTGGAGCTGCCATTAACTGAGATGGAGAAGTCTACAAGTAAAGCAGGTGGCAGGGGTGGAAAGTATTGGGATTTCATCTGAATATTACATCTGCAGTGTCTGCTAGATATTCAAGGAAAGAGGGACAGTGGCTTTGGTTATAGGATTGGGAATCTGGAGAAGAACTGTGGGCTAGGAATATGACTTTGAGAGTCATAAGCATATAGATGGTCAAAGCAAATGAAACAGAATGAGATTCCAAGGGACTGAGTATAGACAGAAAGGGAACAATGAAATGAGCCCTGAGGCACCCAATTCGAAGAAGTCATGAGAAGATCAAGTGCAAGCAAGAAAAAAGAGCAGAGACTAGAAAGGCAGAAGAGAAGTCAAGAAGACAGTGGTGTGAAAGGATCACCAGTAAGAAATGCCCTAGAAAATTAAAGAACACTGAAAATTAACCAGAGACTTTAGGAACATGGAAGTCATTGATGACCCCTACAAAAGCAACAAGAGCATCACTTAAAATGTGGCACAAGTTAACTAACATGTGTTTATAATAACTTTATTCTCTCTTGTCTCTTAGACCTGAATTATCATTGCTTTAAAAGGGAAGAAGGGATGAATTTACATCTTGTTCTCAAATTATTTAAGGTGCAACTACAGCAAAGGAACAGACACATTTAGAAATCTTTATAACCAGCACACAATGACCTTGAAACAGCACAAAATGCTGAGATTAACTTGTTAATTGTCTCATAATCTGGATATAATTAAAATATTGTAATTTCTTATTTTATTCTCATTCTTTGAGAATAAATAACATGCTAGAATTATAAATGACGACTAAAAGTAATACCTATTGGATATATGACACAGAATTAAGAACATTCTACTATGTGGCTTGCCTCAAGTAAATAAAAACATATTGCTCATCATGATTAGTAACTATAAATGCTCAAAGTCTTGAATAATTATTATTTCTTTAATACAAAAATTCTATTCAAAAATTAAGCAATCAAAAAGATAACTTTGGGGATACTCAATATTTAAAATTTATTATATATCTTAACATAATTCTAAATAATAACTTGTTAAATTATCACAATATAACATACATAATATTACAAGTCACTCATTTTTTAAAAATTAATTAATATTAAAATTTGAGGAACCTCAAAATATCTTTTTATCAACTCCCTTACCTGAAAAAAGATTATATCTCAAAAGACAGAATACTATCTTTCTTTGTCATTACCAAAACTATATCTGTGTTTAATCAAAACTAGCACCAATTTGTCCAAGGTCATTTTGATTTGTTTTATGTTATGTGCTGCCAGAAAATGGAATTAAGAAAGAGGTCAATAAGTTAGTTAAATGGACTAGTCATATATAAGAAATATTTAGAGGCTACTGACTGCTTAATCTATACCTCTGGAACAACATTCACTCAAACGTCTGATCTATACCCATCTTCCCAATTTGCCATTTATAATGTCATATAAAATTGAAACAAAAGTTTTGCTCTTGATTTATTTCCCTTAGGCCTATTATTTGTCTCAAAAGCACACACTTTTCCAAAAAGAAAAATTAAATTGAATTGACAGAATTGGATCTTCATAAAACCACACTGATTACTACCCAGTACCCTGAGTCTTTTTAGCTTTTAAGTAATCAATCACTTGATTTTCAGTCTCTTAACTTAGATGCTTGAAAAATATAATTTTTGGAATGTTCTTTATTCTAGATGTGAATGATGTTGTATCATTTTCTAGTCTTCAACATGTCTTCCATCTCCTAGTACATAATAAGTAATTGTTGAAAGTCCATTCTCCTCTTAGGCAGGTCACAGTGAAAAAATTCTATATTTCATCAAAACTAATAAGAGACCATGAATTATTACTGTTTTATGTACCCCTTTAAAAAGTTCTTGTCAATTTAAAATGACAAGAATTTTTTTTGGTGGTGGAGGGGGGGGTGATGGGGAACTGAACCCAAGGCCTCACATGCTCTTATTTCTTATTTATAGTTGAAGAGCTCTTGTGTATATAACTAAGCATATTTGCTTCACTAATATCAGATTTACTCCTTGCTGGTAATTTCTTATTTTATTCTCATTCTTTGAGAATAAATAACATGCTAGAATTATAAATGATGACTAAAAGTAATACCTATTGGGTGTATGACACAGAATTAACAACATTCTCCTACTATGTGGCATGCCTCAATGTCATTCTGCCTATACAAGTTTTGTTTCAATTCTGAGTCATAACACAATCTTTCTGAAGTAAAGTTCAATGCATGCAGTACCATAAGTATACAAAACTCACCTGAAGTATATAACACAAATGGCTTTAACTAGGTCTGGCTTATACAGGCAGTAACAACTACATCCCATCATTTCTTGTTGAGTCCACAGCAACTTTAAGGGGTCATCAGTTGGAGAAGCAATCATATTTCCAAAATATGAAAATATAAAAAAATGGATCACTTAAAATTATTTATGTATTGTAACATAGGATCCTTACATATACCATCACTCAAACAGTACATGTTAATACTCATACTAGGAAACTTTTTGTACTATCCAATATACCATTTTCTTGCTACATTTTCAGTTTTAGACTTTGCTAAGTATTGAGGAATAAAAATCTAAGTCATTGGCTCCACCCATGAATCTGGGAAAACAACCTACATAAAAAGAAGTATTTGTAATGCAAAACAAGAAAAGCTATAATGAAAGTACAACAAAATGATATAGAAACAGAAGAGGGAATACCTAATTCTGCTTAATTAATAATCAAAGCTACATTAGTATTTTGTGCTATAATTTTTATGCCTCCACTTTCAAGGAGACAATGACTTTTCATTTTTATGTGCCTCAACTCTAGGAAATTTCTTGAATTTGGAATTGGGGTTCATTATTACTCTTTGGTCTAGCATTATGAATACAGAAATAAACAATTCTTTGATGCTTAGAAAAAAGAACAAAAATTATTGAAGAGGGAAGAGTTAAAATCAAATGTGGGCAACGTAAAGCTGAAGTACCTAGAGCAATGTTTTCTTTGAATTTTAAAGGTGTACATGAGGGAGGCAATAACCTAAAATTAACATATTTTAAAAGAAATTTTGATAATAATTAAAAAC